TGATGCACAAAAGTATTTTTAATCTTAAAATGAAAATTGCATTGCATGTTGGATAGTCAACATGTGAAAAGAAAAAAAAATAGAGAAAAACATTGCTTTACAAACCTTAAAACTTAATAAAAAAAATTGATATTTTGCATAAGAAAGCATTATAATATTTACTGATAATCTGCCAAATTTCATTAACAATTGCTTTATAATTTAAAAGTTATAGTATGAAAACTATAACAAGCACAAAATGGTTACAAGATCAGTCCCAGGGACCGAGCCCATGCTGAAAGAGTTAAGAGGATGTTCACTGGCTACAAATGGTGCATAGAACACCTACTCAAATGTTAAATGACAAGTTTCAGGATTCCATATGGTGAAGTCACTTAAACAATACTTTTTCACTGTTATTTCAAGTTATTACTGATATTATCTTGAGGAAAAAAACTGTCTTTAGGCTTAAGCCTATATAACAAAATGTACTTATTGTATATAACTCCTTTTTAATTCATTTTGATATTAAAGAATAATTTGCAATTTCCCTTAAGTTTTAAGTTATTCTTTTGAATTATGATCATCACAAATTAAGCACCTTATGTTAAAACTTCACTATCATCTGTTTTTAGAAATATGAACTAAAAATAAGATTGAGACGTGTTTATATTATTTCCAGAGCCAAAAATAACTAAATACAACTCTATTAAGTCTTAAGGTGTTTCACATATTAAAGTATTTAAAGTTAATAGTAAATTTAAACAATTACAGGTTTATTATTTATCAATATAAGTTTTACTCACTTTTAGTTTTAGTGCCACTGAATGTTGGTTTTAAATTTCAGCTTGTAGGGTGGTTTACCTGACAATGTAAAAATTGTAATGAGTGTTGCTAAATAAATATATATATATATATCTCCCGTTTTACTTTTACTTTGAAAGTGGTACATTCATTAATAGCATTAATTAGTAGGTTACTACTAATACTAGTGTCAGTGGTACTCAGTTCCTTTTTTTTTTTTTTATCCATTGTTAATTTATAATAATTAAAATAGATTTATTTATACAAAAAGTCAGTAAAATAGCTTCAAAAATCTTTTTTAAGTTTTTAAAATCTAACTTCAGTAATAATCGCACCAAACAATAATAATCATAAAGAATCAAACTGGCATATTTGTTAATACTAATAGTTAGGCTTTACTGTTCTTAGGCCTAAAAACTGTAATTGACAGCTGTACAAAGTATAAACGAGCCACTAGTTAACTTTTGACTCTTGAAGTTTGACTGGTTTATTAATACTTATAATAATACTAACAAGTACAGCAGTCGAACACAGATGGCCAAAGAAGATTCAATGTAAAATAGAAAATTTTCTACTTTTCCAGGATAATTTATTAACACATAATACACTATTCATTACATTTTCTGACTCTTAAAAATACCATACTTACAAAGTAAGATAATTTTTTAGTAAATTTACATTAAAACTACTCACCTAAATTTATAATTCAACAGTTTACTTCTGCCTACCTGTCAAGACATACAACTGATCAACCTTGGAACTGCGCAATTATTTGCGCAACTGACCCGGATGCTGAAAGTATTTCAAGAAAAAATAATTTACTTTGAATATAAACTATGATTACAAATCCTACAAACTATCTATATATAAATAGATACATACATGCTTCAAGTCTCATTCAGCAAACAGTGAACCTACATTATAAAATAAATAATACATTAAGTTCATTAACAGTGCTCGTGACATAAACAAAAAACAAGTAAATGTAATTAATATCTTCTGATTATAAATAAAACTAATTACTTATACGAATCAGAATTAAAAAGTGATTTCTACATTAATTAAGCCAGATATACAATAGCAAGCTGACAAGATGTACATCATGTCGTATATCATTATACGAGAAAACAAAAACATATTTCTGGCCTTTATCCCTATGTTCGGCCATTTTGGGATATCTAGTTTAGTCCTAAATCTGCATACACCGCTAATGTATCAAATTATCTTCATAAGTGCAAAAATAAATAATAATATTAATCTTCAAATTAAAAATTATTTTAAACATTATACCCAATAAAACAATTGAAATTAGCTTTAAAGAAAAAATAAATGCTGTAATGATTAAAACAGTGACAAATTTCATTCTTCTGTTACTAGTGTCCAACATATTTTTAGTCAAATATATTCAGGTAATACTTTTTCAAATATTTCCTGCGGCTATTCTATGTGTAGTGTGGCATTTTTGTTAACCAAATATTGAAATTTGTAAACATATACTAATCCTTTTACTCCGGTGAATATTGCATATACCAAAGATTAGAAAACCATATAACTTTGGCCCTCTATCTGACTCCCCTCGGGAAATAAGAACTGGTCTTAAGGGTGGCAAATTAATAATTTTTTTTTCTTCTATATAAAGGTTATTTAGAATTGTCGGTTATGTATGCATGTCGGATGTTGGTATTGAGCACTTTAACATTTGTCTGGATGTTGGCACTAAATCAGAACTCCCTTTATTTTTTTGTGTGGACGTGTTAAAATGTCTCTCACCCCACTAGTTAATATAGCATGCGGATATACTATGTGTTCTCTATCCCCTTATTTAATATCAAAATGTCCATACACATGACTTATATATATTATCAACACAGAATGTCAGTCAAGGAAGTAACTAAATTTTTCCTTCTTCTTCTTCTTCTTTTTTTTTTTTTTGTCCTAGTTACTTATTGAATTGAGTCTTTGATCTAGAGTGCCACATGAACTTTCTCGTGGGAAAGATTCATGTAAAGTGGAACCTGCTGTGAAGAAGTGGACAGCTATATTTCCCACTGAGATGTTGAGTAATACCTTGAGGTTATAATCGCCCTTATTTTTTTATGGTAATGATCACCAGTTATGTGATAAGTGCAGACACTAAAAACACATTCATCTTGACTTTGACTGCTTTATGTGATTTAAATAAAGATTGTTTCAATCTGTTTTGCATTGTGTTTAGTCTCTTTCTTTACTTCTAATTCAGTCTAGGTCAAAGAATTAAGATATATTCAATAATTTACTTTATGATAAAAACTCTCATTCTGTGGCTCCTACTTGGTTACTTTTAGGGGAATCAATACACCTGAGAACGTCACACCAATAAGAAACAGTAGAAGCTTATAACCCAGCCAGTAGTAAAAATACACAACAAACTATTTTAAACAAAGACTGTTATTTTGTTAACATAAGTTTATTTCTTTTCTATATTGTCCCTTTTCAATCTATTCTCTGCATAACATTTCTGAAACCTGTAGTTTGTAAATACTTTAGATATTTTGAACTTATCTGTTGAGCATCAATGTGACTGAGTATCAAAGAAGAATTTAAAAGTAACTTTTGGCACCATAAAAATATGTTATAGGAGAGTTTATTAAGAACTTTAAGGCCATTTTTTAAAACCATGTAGAACTTACTGCAGAAAAGAAAAAGGAGTAAAAACTAATGTGAGATGTGACAAAGACTGAGAGAGACACTCTCCTAAACATGAAGAGAGTTATGTTTGATTTCTCGGTTGGACCAATCTCAAATGGTTACCTTATGCATACTTGAGTACAGATCAGTAAAAAAGACTCAATGTGGCTTCCAGTAACTGGAATGTTTCTAAACTTATTGGTGTGGTCTCTCTATGAGAAACCAAGGCACTCATTAACGAGACTGAGCATTGCAAGGTACCAGTTTGCGTCACCCTGGCCTGAGGAGGGATACAAGCTTCACATGTTGGATGAACTTTGGCATATTTCATCACACCTCAAGCAGGGCAGGAAGCACCTTGCCATGATCCAGCAGGATTCTGAGTTAGTCATCTCTGGTATGTACATTGTTAGTAACAAATTACCATTTCTTTGCTGTTGGTAATTTTCAGCAGCCTAATATTATACATTCTGGAAATTATATATAGTGTGAGGAATGGTAGAGATAATTAGATTAAAAAAAAAAAGTTACCACATGGTGTCATTCTCCAACATCTGTGATGTGAAAGAAGTTTCTCAAACCTCCAGAGAATTGTACTGAGTTTGTAGATTTATCTTCTTGAAATTGGACAAGAAAATAAATAACTGCTCATGGTAATATAATAAGTTTCAATGTATGAAAAGTCTGGGTACCCCACGAGACCAGTTCCTAACCCATATTTGATTCTCTCAACAATAATTTCATCACAAGGAGTTGATTTTGAATGGCTTCTATACATCAACCAAAACACTTGTATTATGTGAAGTTGATTAGAAGAATATTATAGTGAAGTTAGTCATCTTCCTTGGCCAATGCAATTACCGATTTCAATATCACTGAACATCATCCTGACGAACTCAAAAGTCGTATCTGCCAAAGTTATCCTCAACTGATATTGATGAATCAGCTGAACATCATACAGCATTTGAGAAATTTGTGTCACACTTAGGCCAGCTTCTGACCACAGCAAAAAAATAGACTGCCTTAATAATAGTTGCAGCTCTTAGCAAAGTATCAGTCAGTGTAGATCTGGCTGACGTTAACCCGAAATAAAATCTTTTTCCAATCTAAAATTCTTTCCCAGACTTATAATAGTTTTTCTTTAAAATAATTCTCGCATGCGTTTTTTTTTCACCATTGTTACCTAATTCCTTGTAAAGTTGTTGGGATCGACTCTGCTACCAACTAACACACAGTACATATAATACATTTTACTGTAATGCACGTAGCGTGTATGTCAGTATCTATGTATATAACCAAAACTTTCGGTATTCAAGATTTGGACAATTAGAAAAATAACTCTGGTATGTGCAACAAACATTTCTTTATAACAGAACACCATTTTAAATAAAAGTACTCTACTCACAACAAGAACACGACTTTCACTAGTACTGTACATGAGGTTTGATTATACCTTTATTGATGTAATTTTTAAATGTAGTACTAAGAAACTGGAGTTCTTAAAAACTATAATTTTATTCAATAAACGGTACCACTTTTAATATATGAACATTTTGAGCTCTGTACATTGAACAATTTTGATGCAGTGAGTTGCGTATGACCAAATAGCACAATCCCAACACTTTTTCTTACAGTACTTCCCAGAAGAAAATCCATTATTAGAAAATGTTCATTTTTTATAATTTTTTTCAGAGAGGTATGCATACTACGATTAGTAATTACTAGCATAAACAACCGTTTCTGCTAGTATTAAACAACTAGTTGGCATTCTTAACGGTCACGACAGTAATTAATACATATTTTAGCTGCACTTAAAATATTAGGAAGGAAGCATACATGAGCTACGAACAAGGGACAATTCTTACTAAATAATTTTGTTGGAAGTGATAGTATTGCATTAGCATTTTACATTAATATAATTTCCACATAAAATAGGTGACATTGTTGTTGTAAATTTCGACTTGGTTGATAATGATTTCTATTGGTTTGTTGTTATTAAATTACCTGTAACTCTTAAATAATTAAACCATTTTGTATATACTTTCTTCTACAAGAACTGGTGAGCAGCCATAAATATTCTCAATACAGACTAAGTAAGATATGGTATTCTTCAACTATGACATAATCACGAGTTCTTATGGTGAAACAAACGCTAACAGCTATTGACTGGGTGTGTCCTAGTAGTTAGCTTGTCAAGCTGCGGATCGAACAGCTCGTGGCTCAAAATATGATGAACCAAACAAAGACCTTGTGATAGGGAATAATGCTGGTCAGTAGTTCAATATTATGAACGTCTGAGTCAAAGGTCTCTGATATTAATGACCATTTAAACCACGTATGCAAATATCAATTTTCATCACCTCTTAACAGATATGGCCTCCTTATTCAATAATTTTGTTATATATATGCGAGAGAGATAACTTATTGGTTTCCAATGCTTTGACAACTTTGGGCAATTAATAGCGATTCAGAATAACTTTTTCTTTGTTATCATCCAGCTCAACCGACGAATTCTGGTGTTGTTAAAGAAACCTCTTGAACAGTGCCTTTTCAGAAGAAAAAAGGATAGGTCTGAAATGCTGTTTTTACACATTTCTGATCTTGAAACTGAAATGAACAAATGAAGAACGTGGGAAAAAAATCAGTTACATTTTACTTTATTTTTAATCATCACAAATGTTAAGCCTATTGGTTTCTAACTTTATTTTTAAGAATTTTTTTGGAGGAATGAGTTTATCCACTGTTATAAATTTACAGTAAAAAAAAACTATCTAAACTATTCCTAAACAAGATTAAGTAATCTGATAATCTCAGAGGCGTCGCTAGTTAGTTTATATATTTGGGGCTCGGGCCCTTCGAGAATAATTAGGTATTTCAATATTTTGCAGAACTCAAAATACAATAATGTAAGATGAAACAAGCTATACAATATGTTAAGCGAACTTAAGCAGTCACATAGCAGCTGTAAATTTACAAACGCAAAATGATCCTGTAAAAACACTTTTAAATATATATGTTATGATGTGAATAATTTGTACATTTCCTGTTGTATCAAATGGACAATATAAACAGCATTCTGGCCACTGCTGGGTTCTTTGTA